TGGCATGGAAGCTATCAGCCTGTGGCACTGCTGAGGTGTTATGGAAGACCAGGATGCTTCAATAGCGGCCTTCAGCTCTTCTGCATTGTTCGCTCTCATGTCTCTCATCTTTCTCTTGGGCAATGCCCCATAGATTCTCTATGGGGTTCCAGGTCAGGCGAGTTTGCTGGCCAATCACACACAGTAATCCCACGGTCATTGAACCAGGTTTTGGTGCTTTTGGCAGTGTGGGCGGAGCCAAGTCCTGCTGGAAAATGAAGTCAGCATTCTTCGCCCATAAAGCTGGTCTGCAGAAGGAAAGGCATGAAGTGCTCCAAATCTCCTGGTAGACGGCTGCGGTGACCCTGGACTTCATGAAGCACAGAGGACCAACACCAGCAGTGACATAGGGCTCCCAAATCCACACAGACTGTGGAAAACTTCACACTGGACTTCAAGCATCTTGCAGTGTGTGCCTCTTCCATTCTTCCTCCATACTCGGGGGGGGTCCTTGTGCCTCTCCATTCTTCCTCCATTACTCGGGGTCCTTGGGCCTCTCCATTTCTTCCTCCATACTCGGGGTCCTTGGGCCTCTCCATTCTTCCTACATACTCGGGTCCTTGGGCCTCTCCATTCTTCCCTCCATACTCGGGGTCCTTGTGCCTCTCCATTCTTCCTCCGTTGTCCTAGCTACTCGGGGCCTTGTGCCTCTCCATTCTTCCTCCATACTCGGGGTCCTTGTGCCTCTCCATTCTTCCTCCATATACTCCCAGAGGGTCGTTGGGCCTCTCCATTCTTCCTCCATACTCGGGGTCCTTGTGCCTCTCCATTCTTCCTCCATACTCGGGGGGTCCTTGGGCCTCTCCATTCTTCCTCCATACTCAGGGGTCCTTGGGCCTCTCCATTCTTCCTCCATACTCGGGGTCCTTGTGCCTCTCCATTCTTCCTCCATACTCGGGGCCCTTGTGCCTCTCCATTCTTCCTCCATACTCGGGGTCCTTGTGCCTCTCCATTCTTCCTCCATACTCGGGGTCCTTGTGCCTCTCCATTCTTCCTCCATACTCGGGGCCCTTGTGCCTCTCCATTCTTCCTCCATACTCGGGTCGTTGGGCTCTCCATTCTTCCTCCCATACTTCGGGGTCCTTGGGCTCCCTCTACCATTCTTCCTCCATACTCCAGGTCCTTGTGCCTCTCCATTCTTCCTCCATACTCGGGGTCCTTCGGCCTCTCCATTCTTCCTCCATACTCGGGGTCCTTGGGCCCTCTCCATTTCTTCCTCCATACTCGGGGTCCTTGGTTTCCAAATGAGATGCAAAAGTTGCTCTCATCAGAAAAGAGGACTTTGGACCACTGAGCAGCAGACCAGGTCTGTTTTTCTTTAGCCCAGGTAAGACGCTTCTGACGTTGTTTGTTGTTTTCAGGAGCGGCTTGACAAGAGCAATACGACATTTGAAGCCCATGTCCAGGATCCGTCTGTGTGTGTGGTGGCTCTTGATACACTGACTCCAGCCTCAGTCCACTCCTTGTGAAAGTCCCCAACACTTTTGAATGGCCTTTTCCTGACAATCCTCTCCAGGCTGCGGTCATCCCTGCTGTTTGTGCACCTTTTCTTCCACACTTTTCCCTCCCACATAACTTTCTATTAATGTGCTTTGATACAGCACTTTGGGAACATCCAACTTCTTCTGCAATTCCCGTTTGAGGCTTTCCCTCCTTATGGAGGGTGTCAGTGATGGTGTCAGGTCAGCAGTCTTTCCCATGATTGTGATTCCTACTGAACCAGACTGAGAGACCATTTAAAGGCTCAGGAACCCTTTGCAGGTGTTATGGCTGAATGAGCTGATTAGAGTGGGACACTTTGAGCCGAGATTATTCCACCTTTTCCCAATATTCTCATTTTCTGAGATTGTGGATTTGGGGTTTTTTTTCATGAGCTGTAAGCCATAATCATCACAAATGATGACAAATCACGGCTGGAACTATCTTGCTTTGCATGGAATGAGTCTCATATATTAGTGTCCCCTTTTAAGTTGCTGCACTGAAATCAATTGAACTTTTGCACCAGATTCTCATTTTTCCAGTCTCACCTGTAGGTCTCTCCCGTCAGCTTTCCCACACAATTGCCAGGGGATAGGATCAATAATTTCTGTCTGTCTGTCTGTAGCCCGATCTGTCCTCACTTATCTCCTCACCTCCGGATCCGGGAGACATAAAAGCTCCAGACACAGAAGTGTAAAAGCCGTATTTTCTAAAAGTTTAATATTGCTTGAGGTGATTGTAGCCGTATTGGTGCATTTGTGACAGAAACAATTCAGTTCTCACGTGATACTTTTTTATTTGCACTAACATACAATTTTGAGGACAAGTTTTCTGGGGAGTGTCACCTTCTTCAGGTCCAAGCAGGACTACTACAACCTTTTAGCAGAAATGTTAGAAGAGATGTTGAAAGGGGGAGGGGAAAAAAACAGAACAAACCCCACGCAAAAAAACAGATGGTACACAGCAATGGTTAATGTGGGACCTGGGATTCCTCACTCATTATCCAGCAGTTCTATGACCCCCTCTGTGAGTGTTGTCCCCTCCCCTGTGAGTGTTGTCCCCCCTCTGTGAGTGTTTCCCCCCCCCTCTGTGAGTGTCTTTCTGTCCCCCCCCCTCTGTGAGTGTTTGTCCCCCCCCCCTCTGTGAGTGTTGTCCCCCCCCCTCTCTTGAGTGTTGTCCCCCCCCTCTGTGAGTGTTGTCCCCCCCCTCTGTGAGTGTTGTTCCCCCCTCTGTGAGTGTTGTCCCCCCCCCCCTGTGAGTGTTGTCCCCCCCTCTGTGAGTGTTGTCCCCCCTCTGTGAGTGTTGTCCCCCCCCTCAGAAGTCTCTTTGCTTTTGCTGTGTCTTATCTCTAGTCTAATCCTAGTCTTAAACAGGCCATAGACGGGGAGAAAACCGGTCGGTTTTTTTTTTTTTAGAAAAACTAAAATCTTTCTTTTTCTTCTCTCTTCTTCATATTTATTTCTTCTTTCTTTATTCATATTTCTATTTTCTTTTTCTTCTATTTCTTCTTCTTATTCATATTCTATTTTCTTCTTTTATTTTTTATTCTATTTCTTCATTCTTATCTTATTCTATTTTTTTTTTTTCATTTTTCTTTTTTTCTTTTCTTTTTCTTATTTTTTATTCTTTTTTTTTTCATTTTTCTTATTTTATTTTTTCTTTTTTCTTATTCATTTTATTTTTTTTATTTTTTCATTTTCTTTTCCTTTTTTATTTTTCCTCTTTTATTCATTTTCTTTTTTTCTTCTTTTTCATATTCTTTTTTCTTCTTTTTTTTATTCTTTTTCTTCTTCTTATTTTATTTATTTCTTCTTCTTTTTTCCTTATTCTCTTTTTCTTCTTCTTCATTTCTATTTTTTTTTTTTTATTCTTTTTTCTTATTCTTTTTTTCTTCTATTTTTCTTTTTTTTTTTTTTTATTTATTTCTTTTATTATATATTCTATTTTTCTTCTATTTCATTTTTTTTTATTCATATTCTTTTCTATTTCTTATTCATATTCTTTTCTTTTTCTTTACTTTTTTATTTTTTCTTTTCTTTTCATATTCTATTTTTTTTTTTTTTTATTCTTATTTTATTTCTTCTTCTTATCTTGCCGCTTTTTTATTTTTTCTTTTTCCCTTTTCCTTTTCTTCTTATTTATTTTTCTTTTTCTTTTTTATTCTATTTTTTCTATTTCTTCTTTTTTATTCATTATTCTTTTTCATTTTTTCTATTTTCTTTTTTCTTATTCATATTCTATTTTTCTTTTATTTCATATTCTATTTTTTTTTCTTTTCATATTCTTTTCTATTTCTTCTTCTTATCTTATTCTATTTTCTTCTTTTTCTTATTCTTTTTTATTCTATCTTTTTTTTCTAAATCTTCTTTCCCTTTTTAACATTTCTTCTAACATTCTGCTTTTTCACTTTGGAGTAGTCCTGCTTGGACCTGAAGAAGGGGACATCCCTGGGAAAGCTTGTCCTCAAAATTGTATTTTTTGTGCAAATAAAAAAGTATCCCTTCAGGACTCCATTGTTTCTGTTAAACGTTTAATACAAAGCAAGAGATGATATACAGAAATTCAACAGGCTGATTGCTTTAATCAGGACAACCAATGAGACATTACATTCTTATCAGTATAGATACGGTGAGAAGCAGAAACTGCAATAGCACGAAGGACACCATATACAGAGGATAAAAGTCTTCACACCCCTGTTAAAATGTCAGTTTTTTCTGTGATGTAAAAAATGAGATAAAGATAAATCATTTCAGAACTTTTTTTCTACCTTTAATGTGACCTATAAACTGTACCAGGGGCGGACTGCCAACTCATGGGGCCCCCGGGCAATAGGGGATCATGGGGCCCCTGTGTCCTTGCCCAAACTCAAAAAAAGCCCTATGAAAAAGGTACCAGGGGCATCTCATGGGGCCCCCTACTGACCCCAGGCCTCGGGTAGTGCCGAGTTTCCAAATGGTCAGTCCGCCCCTGCCTGGAACTAGGTTTGCAGCCAGTAAAGCCAGCCAAAATGACTGAAAACACCAAAGCAGATGTTAGATTTTTAGTTACTTACAAAATGAGAGTTTGGCAATGGCAGCCGAGGTATTTACACAGCACAGGTTCATTTTACCAGAGTTTAAGGCAATTTAACCATTTCAATACCGTTTTTTACCCCCCCAGTTCCCCCAAATGTCAGAACAGTACAGATATCCCCCAAATGTCAGGACAGAACAAGATATCCCCCAAATGTCAGGACAGTACAGATATCCCCCAAATGTCAGGACAGTACAGATATCCCCCAAATGTATGAACAGAACAGTACAGATATCCCCCAAATGTCAGGACAGAACAGATATCCCCCAAATGTCAGGACAGTACAGATATCCCCCCCAATGTCAGGACGGTACAGATATCCTTTCAAATGTCAGGACAGTACAGATTATCCCCAAATAAAATGTCAGGACAGTTACAGATATCCCCCAAATGTCAGGACAGAACAGATATCCCCCAAATGTCAGGACAGTACAGATATCCCCCAAATGTCAGAACAGTACAGATATCCCCCAAATGTCAGGACAGAACAGATATCCCCCAAATGTCAGGACAGTACAGATATCCCCCAAATGTCAGAACAGTACAGATATCCCCCAAATGTCAGGACGGTACAGATATCCCCCCAAATGTCAGGACAGGACAGATATCCCCAAATGTCAGGACGGTACAGATATCCCCCAAATGTCAGGACAGGACAGATATCCCCCAAATGTCAGGACAGTACAGATATCCCCAAAATGTCAGGACGGGTACAGATATCCCCCAAATGTCAGGACGGTACAGATATCCCCCAAATGTCAGGATAACAGTACAGATATCCCCCAAATGTCAGGACAGGACAGATATCCCCCAAATGTCAGGACGGGACAGATTATCCCCCAAATGTCAGGACGGTACAGATATCCCCCCAAATGTCAGGATGGTAGGACAGTTACATATCCCCCAAATGTCAGGACTGGTACAGATATCCCCAAATGTCAGGACGGTACAGATATCCCCCAAATGTCAAGACGGTACAGGATTTGGGTCCCCCAAATGTCAGGACGGTACATTTATCCCCAAATGTCAGGACAGTACAGATATCCCCCAAATGTTTTTACAGGACAGATATACTTTTTTTTGTCAGGACATTTTGATTTTACCCCAAATTTCAGGACAGTACAGATATCCCCCAAAATGTCAGGACAGGACAGATATACCCCAAATGTTTTTTGGAAGATATTTTTTTTGTCAGGACAGTACAGATATACCCCAAATGTCTTCAGTACAGATATCCCCCAACAAATGTCAGAATAGTATTTTTGGATATCCCCCCATATGACCCCTTTTTGCAGAGTAGACAGTCCGACGTACTTCATAAGAGGCATGGAGAGTTTTTTGAAGTTTATTTTTTTTGTCATAATTTTTCTGGAAAATGAGCAAAAAAAATTTGAAAAAATTGTTTTCACAATTTTTTTTTTTACACCCTGTCACCAGTGCAGTACAGCGTCATCATTATAACTGGCATGGCGGGTGATCAGGGACACTGAGGGGCTGGTGACAGTATGAAAAAAAAAATATATATTTTTTTTTTTTTGTTATTATTTTTAATTTTTTATTACATTTTTTTCTTTTTTTACATATTTTTTTTTTTCTTATTTCATATGACCAAAGTAGTTTTTTGTTTCCATAGTAACATTGTACGGTGTACTTTGGGGAAGTGATCAGTATTTTTTTTTTTTTTTTACACAATTTGCTTATGGAGCAAAGAATTACTTTGTTATAAGCAAGCATTTTACCTGAATGACATCGATTTTTCATTCAGGGTTTTGTTTTTTTTTTTTGTGCTTAGCTGTGATTTGGCCACAGCTAATCACATGACATGTGCATTGTGACCTGCTGTGACCATTCACAGCTAGACACTAGTATACGATGGAGGGCAGTTCATGAATGAAGCCATCCATTGTCATACAACTGTCATGTTGACCTGCTGTGATTGGTCACAGCAGGGGGTCACATCTTTCCCCCGGTACTCTCTCTTCCCCAAATACTCATGATCTGTCTCGGCCGTGGTTTCCGAGGTTACACCCCCCTGGACAGATCGCTCTGGCAAGCGATATCTCTCTCTCTCTCTTCTTCCCCCCCCCCATGTGTACCTTCCTTCAAAATACACATCTCCTGCTATTCCATTCAGTTCCCCTCTCCACACTTTTTGTTACTAAAACAAATGGAGGCGATGAAAACTAGAAGACAAACCCCTCCCTTTAAAATGACCAACATTTGGATAAACATGTTTCTAAAGATATTCTTGAAAGGGTCTGGGGGTTGAGATGAAACTTTCGTTTTTAGTTTTTTCAACAATCTCTGCAGTCATTGCTCAGCAATTTCATCCCTCACATAGATCTGGGTCCTCAGTGGTTGTATTCTCTAGATTTTTAGCAATAAAAACATTTCTGATAAAAGGCTTGTGATTAAAAAACGGCCATGCAGGTGATTTTAATTTACACCTAGAAAACCTCCAATTTCTCGGGGAAATTGTGTGAAGTGTTCTTGCCTCCACCGGTAGTCTACAACTGAACCCTAATGGGGGGGGAGTAACTGGGTGGAGTGGGCGGAGTAACTGTTGTTGTGGATGGAGTCTCTCTCAGAGTAACTGTGAAAAGGTTGGACTGGGGGTCAGAGTAACTGTTGTGTGGTTGGAGTGGGCGGGGGGGTAACTGTTGTGTGGTCTGGAGTGGGCGGAGTAACTGTAAAAAGGTTGGAGTGGGGGGGAGTGTAACTGTGAAAAGGGGGGGGGGGGTTGGAGTGGGCGGGAGTAAACTGTGAAAAGGTTTGTAGTGGGCGGAGTAACTGTGAAAGGGAGGGGGGTGGAGGTAACTGTGAAAAGGTTGGAGTGGGTGGAGTAACTGTGAAAAGGTTGGAGTGGGCAGAGTAACTGTTGTGTGGTTGGAGTGGGCTGGAGTAACTGTGAAAAGGTTGGAGTGGGTGGAGTAACTGTGAAAAAGGTTGGAGTGGGGGGAGTGTGTTGTGTGGTTGGAGTGGGGGAGGGGGGGGTGTGGTTGGAGTGGGGGGGGTAAGTAATTGTGAAAAGCTTGGAGTGGGCAGAGTAACTGTTGGGTGGTTGGGTGGGGGGAGTAACTGTGAAAAGGTTGGGGTGGTGGGCGGAGTAACTGTGAAAAGGTTGGAGTGGGGGGAGTAACTGTTGTGTGGTTGGAGTGGGTGGAGTAACTGTTGTGGGTTGGAGTGGGAGAGTAACTGTGAAAAGGTTGGGGGGGGGCGGAGTAACTGTGAAAAGGTTGGAGTGGGGGGAGTAATTGTTGTGTGGTTGGAGTGGGGGGGGAGTAACTGTTGTGTGGTTTGGAGTGGGTGGAGTAACTGTTGTGTGGTTGGAGTGGGTGGAGTAACTGGTGAAAAGCTTGGAGTGGGGAGTAACTGTTGTGTGGTTGGAGTGGGGGGAGTAACTGTTGGGGTTGGAGTGGGTGGGGGAGTAACTGTTGTGTGGTTGGAGTGGGGGGGCGGAGTAACTGTTGTGTGGGGGGAGTGGGTGGAGTAACTGTGGGTGTGGTTGGTGGGGGGTGGGCGGAGTAACTGTTGTGTGGTTGGAGTGGGCAGAGTAACTGTTGGTGGTTGGAGTGGGCGGAGTAACTGTTGGTGGTTGGAGTGGGGGGAGTAACTGTTGTGTGGTTGGAGTGGGTGGAGTAACTGTGTGGGTTGGAGTGGGCGGAGTAACTGTTGTGTGGTTGGAGTGGGTGGAGTAACTGTTGTGTGGTTGGAGTGGGCGGAGTAACTGTTGTGGGGTTGGGGGTGGGCAGAGGTTGTGTGGGTGGGGTAACTGGGGGGTTGGAGTGGGCGGAGTAACTGTTGAAAAGCTTGGAGTGGGTGGGGAGTAACTGTTGTGTGGTTGGAGTGGGTGGAGTA